CTGATTACCTCACTCAAAGCTCACAGTGTCCCTGTGAAAGCTATAATATTTCACAGTATGCTTTACAAGATCTCAGGTACACTAAATGCACCACTACAGGGCAGAGCTGTTCAGACACACTAGAAACTGGTACACTACCATCAATGAAATACTTCTAAAGCTAGGACAAGAACCAGTTCTTTTAAAACAAGACACCACCAAGGACAAGTGAAGATACATATATGGGGCATCAGATATTTGAACCATTCTGCTTTGTCCATCAATGGTCATTGCTGATGTATGGAGAAGTTGACCTCTAATCACACTCTTATGGCGAGCCTGTGGCTTGCAACACAGAATTAAATTCCATGTGTCTCTCTTCAACAAATCATTCTGTTGAGACTCTCCAGACACATTGCAGGGCTACATCCTGAAACAAGTCAAAATGGCCTCCTACCAAGACTTAACCATAAAAAATTATCATTATCTTGTTGATAACCACCTACAAGACTACAGTGTTACAACCCAGAGGACCATAATCAATATCTTCACTGTCGTGAGAACCTCAATCGCAGAAATAAGTATTGTTTTTCAATGTTCATTTACGGTGAATATTAATGAATGTCGAGAGTAAAAATTTAGTTATCTTTAGTGGCTGAATATTAATGAATGTCGAGAGTAAAAACTTAGTTAACTTTAGTGGCCGAGAAGTTAAGAAATATCAATACAGGCTTATTTTCTGACAGGCTGACACAACATAATTTTCCTTAATTACACATCATGAAATAACTGATAAAAAAACAAATTCAATGACCATTCTGAATAAAAACTTCTTTGAAGTACATTCACATACAGTGGAACTGAAGCACCAAGACTAAACAGTACATTCACGTGTTTTTCTCCTCACAAAAAAAACAGTTAAACACACAATACAATGTAAAATAATACAAATTTGTAATTTCCATCTGAAAAGTGAAAGGTTTCTTGATCAAATGAAGCCAACTGTGTTCCCCTTTATTACAGCACTAACCATACCTCTACAACTGACAGGCTATTATCAGAAAATACCCTGATTAAGTTGAAAGCAATTAACTCACAAGTGCTCTTATATGTTTTAATTAAAAACTGCCAGTATCAGAAGGACAATTATATTAGTCGCAACTAGTAATAAAACTGTTAGCAACTATGTTTAAAAAAATCAAATGCTGTATCACCTCTATCAGTTACAAATGATCCACTATTCAAAGCAGGCAATCCATTTTCAATAACAGAGAAGAACCAAGCAATCATCATTTGTCACACAGCAGCTCAACAACAACCATACTCCATGAAGCCAGTTATATAACCATGCAGCAAACAGCCGATGAAACAGATTTCACTTTTCCATTATTTTACAACTCTCTTAAAATGACACTAGTGTAACAGCACTGCCCATCAGGAACAAATGAAAGCATCACCCACACCTAACCTAACAATATGTTCCACCTTCTCGGATCAATAGTCACATTCAATTGGTGTCGGTATGTTCTCTTCACAATTTTACAATTCCGCACAGCGTGGAGACAAATCTTTACCCATTTCAAACTACACTATGTAGAAATGAATGCAGTGAGCAACATTCTTGTATCCACCTAAGCCGTGAATACGTATGGGGGAGTGGAAGGTTGGCTCCATGCATTCTTAACCTTTGCATTATATGGAGTGGCAGCGGTTGTCAGCTTCATGCTCCAACCACTTTATCCCCACTAGACAATGCAGAGGAGGCTGGATTGGTCCCAGACCCAGTATGGACACAGTGGTGATTTGTTTGTTTGTCATCAGTCTCTCGACTGGAAAAATTCTCGAAAGATAATGAACTGTATTGCTGGGTGCAAACACATGGAAAAGACTCGGAAACATTGGATTCAAATTTAACTTTACAGTATAATTGTAATTACAACAGAAATACTGTAATCAACGAGCCAGATGAAAATGTTAACATGGTCAACAAAGGTATCTTAGTTCATCAATTAAATATTAAACTTGTCCTGTGCCCCAGTGTTGCATTAATAAAATCATAATTTTTTAGTCACATGCCACAATCTTCCACTCATCACAAATGACTGTAGAGTATGTTCAGTGAAAACTGATTATCAAATGCAGTCAGCTAAGTCTTTAGATGATCTACAATATTCAACTAGAAATTTGTTCAGCATGGCTTTAGAATAATCTATGGAAATAAACACGAGTGAAAAGGCATAAACTGTACTGCAATATACGCATGTTTTTATTAATAAAAGATGATGTCAGTTATCTTACTTAGACAATTTTATTTTGCAACTTCACAGTCATGTCTTAAGTTGTGTTAATCAACATAAATACACAATATGGCATAGTAATACAAGTGGTACTAGTGTTGACCCCACCTCATAATTCTGTCTGTCCACCATGTTTGTATTACCAGTAGAGGGAAATTGAAAACTATGATATTAGGGAAACCCCCAATGGCATAACATGCCTAATTTCATCCAAATCTGTCCAGCAATTATCAATCTTGCAGACAGACACATAATCAGCCCTACGTGCATTCATTTCATGAACATCGTGCAATGAAGTTCTCAAGTTAACAGGATCACATGGTATATCAGTGTGTGCATCAGTAAGCACTTACACATAACCTGTATGTGTTAAAAACTCAAAATTATTGCATTCACACATGCAAAATATTATCTAAAAGACAAATGCCAATGTCTAATGGATGATATTTTGAATAGAGTAGAGTAGAGAATCCTATATGTTAACTGGGCAAATCTAGTAATACTGGTTTTTCATGTGACATATATTAATTCTTTGTGAATTTTACGACAGTCTAATATATACATAAAAATTGTATAGAATCATGCTGATAAGCCAACACAGCAAAAATTACATTCTTCGGTAAATAAAATTCCTAGTATAAAAACTTTTACTGCATCTTCTTGTTGGCAAGACATGGCCCACAGCCGATTTTAAAATTTTGGGTGGCTATAATTGTTATCAAAAACAGTAAATCGAATAAATACAAAAATTAGGTTTGTTTGATAAACGCTTCACGTATTTACACAATAAGGAGTAAACTATTTTTAAACGCTTATCTGCTTTACAATATGTGAAATATGGCCTACCATCACTTAGAAAACACAAGAGGAGCCGTGATTTATGAATACGTACATTTTCGTCCATGTATTACACGAACCCCTACGCAAAACAGCAAGAACAACGAAATGCATGCACACTTCCAGATATGGGCAACCTAGCCTAAGTACTCACCATCTGTGCGTTTTATATCCACACTGGCACCTGCCGAAATCCCACTCAGTCCTTCATCCATTTTCACTTAATAAATGTAACAGATCACCATAAACCACACAATATTAAAAACACTGCGCTTCATATAACTTTCATAAAACCGGCTGTAAACCTGTCTCAACTATCGTATCCTGCTATGACAGTTATCCTATACAGCTTTTAAAATCTACCAGTACAAACCAAGTGATCAACACTGTTATGCAAAGCTTTGTACCAAAACATTCTATACACACATATGAGTTAGTTCAAAATCTCATTTCACAAAATCGGTTTACAACTTAATCTCACCCTAAAATTAACAGCTATTAAAACTGAAAGTAATTTATCATTGATCAAAAAGCAGTAATCATAGTTTGAACAAAATACTGTACACTATGAAACATAGTGGATGTAAATTTAACTTACTATATTACAATATAATTCTTACATAATTTTGTCTGTTATAAAATACTTATTTACCAAATTAAACAAAATAATTAAATTATCGTCTGTAATGTCTGGTACCAGGTAAAGGGATAATATGAAGTATGTACTTTGCTCGAAAGAGGACGGTAGCTTACACTTAACTCTAGCGCTGCAATCGAACAACCTACGATCCGGTGTTTGGCGTTATCGGATAATTCATACTATCGATAGAATGTTTGCAATAAAATTCCAAACTTTGGAATAACGGTATCCAATAGAAATGCTATCATGGCGATTTACAATGATGGCGCTAGCATAAATATGTTATATCAGATTTAAGGATTTTAGGTGGACAAGGCCGTGAAAATGTCAATTTCGTTTTTGTAGATTGTTACATCGCCTAGTCTTTTAGGTACTTTATTTCTGACTGTCAAGTCTTGAAAGACACATGCTGAAACGTCCAAGTAGAAGTCATAGAACTTTGAGGTTACACTTACAACTTTGAAAGAAGTTCCTTATTTCATCCTTTCTTGAGTACATTTATTTAATTTAATCTGATCGTAAACCTCGTGGTTTATAGCATTCATACCAAATCACTGACTTCTGTAAAGAGAATTAATTTACATGCGCGGTTTTCCTTGAATATAACCTATGTCTATTAGAAAGTAGACAGTAGAACCACGGTTCCGGAGAATCTGACGTAAATACGCCTCTGTAATGTAATGAAATGTAATAATTCTTATATAAGATAAGAACTTGTGATATTCTAAACCGTTTTTACTAGCACAAAATTATCTAGTCTACGACGCACTTCTTCTACAACCGATTCACAGCTCAGCTCTTTTCGCAGTAACGAAAGCGAATTGTTTATGGCAATAATGAAACACAACAATGCCGAGTAAACAGATGATATAACAGTTAGTTTCTTAGGTAACATAACAATGCATGCAGGAGTTCATATAAAAGCTGACCATTGTTGTTGGTCCATATTTACACATTGTTGATATGGATCTTTCACAACTTTGTTACGCTTTTTTGCCGAATGACCCTCCGTATAGACGGATTTATGTCAAAAAAAATTTGCGTATAGACGGATTTACGTCAAAAAAAATTTTCATTATCCACCCTTCTTTGCCTAGTTCTCCCAAGTCACTCCTTAAGATTTTCCAAAATTCTGCGCAGATTTTTTATTTTATGATTCTATGTGTCTAACCCATTTCATCCTAGGTGTGATGTAGAAGAGGGCATGTTCCCAATTAATTATACAAGGATGACATTGAATGCATAAATGTTTGTGGTCATAGAATAACCATTTGATGAAACTATATTCTGAGACCATGGATACATTTCTTCATGTAAGAGTCAAGATGAGAGTAGTCAACAAGCGTCTCTTGCACTAGTTCGGACAAGATGGCCGGCCACTCTTGTTCTAACAATCTCAGCTTCTCTACTGCAGCACATGCCACTTCTATCAATGAATTCAGATGGCATCTACCCTTGTGTCGCCACATCATGTCTTCCTGAAACATATATGGAGGGCAATGGCATAATATGATGTAGTTGTCAGTAGACTGAAATCCACATGAAAGAAAAGTTAATCAGAATCATTATGTAGTACACAATTCTTTAAGTCCATGGGGCAGAGTCCTCCTTCAGAATCTTACACTATGCTGAGCTACTCAAGATATATCCCTCCAGTAATGGAACCTAAAATTTCATTTCTCAATAATTCTTCCACTCCATACATTTCTAAATCAGCCGTTTCTGAAATAAATTTGGTCTCTTTATCACCTTTTTTCCTTTTCAAGCATTTTTGTTTGTATATATGTTTCTTTTTAATACCATCCCTCATATTCGAAGGGATTGTAAGCAGACTCATTAACTATCCCTCAACATACAACACTTTCGCTGAAGGTCTGACAGGTGGCAGGGAATCTTACGAACCTTTATTGAATAGGAATAAAGGATTTACAAGGCTGCTGACGAGACTTTAACTCCAGTGTTATCAGTTTAGCAATATGCTACTGCAATGTATGGGTCACCTGGGCTGTACATAAGCCATGACTCATCGCTGATAAACTTAAATCAGAATATTAAATTTTTTTATCTGTTTACCTGGGACAGCGTGCCCTTCCGCCACTGGAGAGCCTCCTTTGCGATGACACTACGCAATGCAGGGTCTGCACTCCAAAGCCACTGCTTGGCATTGACAGACTGCTGTATGAGGGACTGAGAGCCCTCTACGTGGACACGTCCCAGCAGAGGCTGCAACAGTGCATCAGGCAGCGAGCACAGCACGATGTCGCCGAGACCCTGGAACTCGTTTGACGCGGCTGCGACCTCCTCATCTGGTACCTGCACACGTTTGTCATAAAGAGAGTAGACGCTGATGTGCACGGAAGCATGCTAAAACTATGTACGAGGTGCAAAGGACATATCATAACTCAACTTACGTCCATCCCATTGATAGTCCTGAGACCCCAGTGTGAAAGCCTGTAGATGGCGTACTTCTGCCACTCCTTCTGGGTGATTGAATTTCCGTCAGATTCGATACACAGCGAGGTTAGACCCTGAATGTCAGCCAAAGCATTGAGCTGACCAAGACAGTGAATGTTGGTCTCTTGGAAGATGAAGTGCTCGGCATTTGGGAACCTGTGCTTGATGCGGCACAAAATTGGAATGATGCTGTTGAAGTTAACGTAATTGAATTTCACTGTATTCACATCTGCAGCTTTCCCAGAATTCCACGGACGGTCTATGAAACGGAGAGCACCTTGCCCATAGACGTTGAGGAACCGGCCACATATTTCTATAAGGAAGTCTCCCCCTGAAAACAAAGCCAAGTACTTAGTCAATCAGGATATGATTACGCTATTTTTGGGCTATTTAACGATGCTGTACGAGAAGCAAAAGTTAGACACTGTAGATACAAAATCCCCACTTAATGGTACCTGCACCTTGTCGTGGTGGTGGAGCTCGAGTACCTCAGTGACCCCAGATTGGTCGAGGGGGAGAGGTCAGACTAAGACAGGTACCCTGGTCCTCCAGGTTGGGGGTTGGTCGCAAGGCTAACAACCTTGCGCCGTAAAAAGGAAGATGTTACGAAACCTCGATCAAAGCCTCGGACAGACGGACCTAACAGAGGACTGAATGGAAGAGGAGAATTGAGGAGGCCATGGACCGAATACGGACCGGAGAGCCATAGAAGAAGAAGAAGATACAAAATACAAAGAAGGAGTATTAACCTCTTTACTTTGATGCTTTGTCTTCCCAAAAGTATAAGAAAAGAACTGCCTTCACAAGGTCTATGTGCTTCCATCATCATGGTGTTTGAGTAAATAATTAATTTGTTAGGTTCATGGATGTTTTGTTTTGCCATGCAGTCTTTCGACTGTTTACCAGCGTTTCCAAAATCTTGGTTTCAAATTATACGGCACAACAACCCAGAACACTGTCGATATTCAGAACACAGTCAGAACCTCAAACCCTTCGAGAAGTTCTGAAGATACTTAAGGACGCTGTTTTAAAAGCTTCATAGTCCGAAATGTTGTTGAAAAGAACACATATTTCATAACCACTAACAGAAAAGTGATAGTTTTGTAATGTATTTTTCATTTACATTCTTGTTCCCAATTTTTGTAGACAGCAACTTGACGTTGAAGTCTCGCTTATGCTACATACGCACCTTGCTCCCGCACCCTGCCCTGATGCACCGAGGGTTTCTGTTGTACTCGTCCTGTGGCAGCCCTCGTCTGTGCCCTGCGAGACACATTCTTGCGGTAGTGAGTTGCACTCTTCACATTCCTCGGAGGCCTGGCATTTCCCATCGCTGCTTCCTGAGGAGAAGTAGGCTCTTCACTTGATTCTGATTCTGAATGTTCGCTGCTGCTGCTTATGTCAATCTTGCCACTACTGCTGTTGGAATCACTAGGGAGAGAGCTCAATGAACTGTCAACATTGGGTTCAACGCTCGATACACTGTCACATCGTTTCATTTCATCACGCTGTGCAGCATTTTCATTCACTTGACTTACACCATTCCCGTGAGAAGCCTTCTCTTCATTCGACGGAGGTGCAATGATCGGAGGAAGTCGAAAGAAATCAATGCTCGCGGCAGTGGATGATGATGTCTGTTGAGAAGCGTCCAGTTCCTGTGACGAGGAACGACGAGCATAACACGATCGTTTCTTCTCTGCTGTGTTTAGCAGTGCTGGTCGCGCACTCTTAAGTCTCTCCCACACGTTAGTTCCTGGTCTGTATTGATTTGTACACACAGAAGAGGTGACACTCCTCACACCAGAGTCACTCTGAACATATCTTTCATTTCCAGCCTCATAGTCTGCAATGTTACGCAGGTCTTTTAGAGACCCGCTAAAAGTGGAAGAGGATAAACATTGTGTCTGTGAACGTAAGAGTTCCCAGTTGGTTCTAGCGTTAGAAATTACCTCCTTTCTCCGAATGTCTGCGCACGTTTCAGTGCCGTGCTGGGACATGAGCATTGAAGATTCCTTACTGTTTCGCCAAACTGCTGCAGCCTTTCTCACTGGTTCAGTGACTTCCATGCAACTCAGAAGCTTCAGACAGGGAAGATACGAGACCAGAAATGACACACAGTCGCCACCCAGTGACACGGGGTTGCCGTCCACAGTGACCTCACTCAGCTGTGTGGCTGTCACTATGCTGCTCATGTCATCAACACTGAAACAGATGTTTTACGCTTCGATTCCTAACCATTTCACTGAATGTCATTTTGTATTTTGCATACTTTTTATCTTAAAGTTACGAAATAAGTAAACTGATAAACAAATATTCCCTGTTTTTTCCCCTTTGAGATACTTTGTGCTACAGTCTACGAACAAGTGGTATTTGTGGCCTATTACAAGAATTAGAAAATAGTACTTTTTTAAATGGTGGCGACCTTCTGGGATATTGCGCCATGTAGTCTGATATAAATTTACTGACACTTCAGAGGTGCTTGCTGTCTCAATCATCAGGGTAAAGAGCACCTCTGAAATGTCAGTAAACTTCTACTGAACAACACGGTACAAGATTTCTGTCTTCTGGGTTGTTGCGCTGTGTAGTCTGGTCGATGTTAACCAACGTTTCAGAGGTCATACTGCCTCCGTCATCAGCGCAACAACCCAGAAGACAGAAATCTTCATACTCACCATTGTGAAAACCTCAAATCTTACAACATGGTACAACATCCCATACTCGCTGTTGTGTAAACCTGAAATCAATCGTTCATTCCTTCCTCTCGTCTTAGAGGTCTGTCTGTCATCTTCTAGTTTGATATTTTGCAATCTTTGGGGCTTTCCAAAACTCATTACTTTAACGTGTTTCTAAATTATTTAGGGGGAAGAATTAATTTATACTGAAAACAATTGAAGAAGTTAACACTTTAATTTTCTGGAATATGATCTATCTTCATTCATTTAGAAAATATGATAAGTGTCCAATTTTCTTAAAATTTATAACCAGTATGAATATAATTCACTTACACATGGAGTTCATTGTTACTTAGGAACAGTTTCTGTAGTTGTGGTGTTTCTCGAAAACCCAGCAAGGATTTTATCCTGTTGCGTCTCAGGTTAAGTTCTCGCAGTGACCGTAAACCCTGGAGATCAGATGCACCTATAACTCTAATCTGATTGCCTGCAAGGTTGAGAACTTTGAGCTCGCTCAGTGCTGACAATCCACCAACTTGTGTAATTTGATTCCCATGAAGATCTAGAACTTCCAGCTTCATGAGATAGTTCAGACCCTCGATACGTCGAATTCTGTAAAAAATTGCATTATCTTCAGATACGACAGGAATATATTTGAATGCATCCTTTCAGATCCTGTTATTCATGATCTGAGATTGGGAAATAATGTGACGGCCCGGCATTAGATTCCGCCTGAGAAGAGTGGAAAGAATGTATATTATCACAAGACCAAATATAAGGGTAGAATCAAATATTTTGGTGGTAGAATTTCCAAAATTAGTATAATAAAATGTTTATGGATGTTCTAACAAAAATAAAGTGAACCTGTCACTTACAACTGTGAACACAGTTTTAACAAAGTTCAGTTCTTATTTGTTTCTAATAAGTCTGCAAATCAGTGCCTACCTCTTTCTTCTTAATTTTAATGCATTTCAGTTGTCTTACATGAAAACATAATTTTCAGGATAACTTTCTATAATGTTAACTGTGTGTGAAAATTTCTGGAGAGGCTGTTATACCTTATCACATTACTGACCTGTTTTTCCCTATCAGTAGGACACGAAGATTCTGAAGAGAATCAAGACTGGCAATGCGTTCAAGTTGGTTGTCATAAATATCAAGGAAGACAAGTCTTTTGAGTCCTTGTGTTGACACACCATCAAGTCTGGTGATGAGGTTATGTTGGAGTGTCAGTAGACGAATCTTTGTTTCCCCTACTAGTAGCGGGAATTTCGTGAGACCTCTTCTACAAAATACATAAACATTGTTTGAGTAACATGAAATAAAACAGAGTGGCAGTATAGCAGAATCGTAATTATATGCTGGGAGATTTGATAGAAGAACACTGAAATAAAACATTGTTGGATAGTTAAATCAATTAAGTCACTGATCGGCTAGTGTTTGATTAGTGGCAAGGGAGTTGGTAATTTTGCAGTGCTGAGGCATAGGATAAAAGATGGGACTTAATTGTATAAAAAATATGATGTAATAATTAGCAATATTATTTTCAGTTACTCCAGAAAAATGCCTGGAATGTATTTCAGGCCCCTTCCTTCCACATCCCTCCTAATTCATCATTCACAATAATTCTCACAGTGTTACTACATAAACCTATACAGTTGAGATCTGTTGAAGGCTCTTTACTGAAGACTGTGCAAACCAAGTGAAGGTTGTTTAACCCATTTTAGCCAAAACTTTCCCAAATAGAATAACATTTAAAAATTTAGTTCTTATAACAAAGAAAACACAATTGGCTCCAGGACAATGATTAGTTAGTTAATGATGTTGAAGAACATAATTGCTGTTTATTTTAAGAATCATACAAAATCCATAATAAACTCTATGGCCAAAGCACAGTTTTAGTGAATGTTAAAGCTTGTACTCATAGAAGTGGGCTCTTCTGGGTTAATTATCTGTATACTGCATGGATGTTACAGATTGTCCACAATACCGTGTACCTGTTGAGACAAATCCGATCTGGATTTCTTTCTTTCTCCTTCTGAGTCCTTAAAGCCTGGATCCTTCCACTGGGGCCTGCTTTCAGAAAAATATCACTTGTAGGTATGCTTGCATCTGATGTAGTCCAGGTTGCAGTGCCACTTCTGGGGAACAGAATTTGTAGATATTGCATCTCTTTGCATTGCATGTGTATGTTTAATATGAATGGAAATTTGGAAGTTTAGGCCCCATTGAACACTCTCATGAACCTGTCTATTCTTGCAATATGGACTGACAAGAATGGGCCCGTCAAACACACGTCTGCTTCTGGAGCACTTTTATAAAGTAACCTTGTGGACCACGTCACACTATCAGCAGCTCTGATAGAAGGCTATATTGAAAATGTAATTATGTGACAGTTAATTACTTTTACATGACCACAAGTACCACACTTCACTGTCCATGATTTCCACACCTCTGTATTTGATTTGTGTTCATGAAGACAATCTTCTTATATTAATTTATACTGCAGACAATGCATCAGTGATACTTGAATCACAAGGTATGTTTATAAACTGGGAAAGGTGCAATAGTTTGGGTGAAATAAAATTTTACAGCTTATCTATGATTAATGAGGTAATCAACTGTGCATATGTAAGATTTGAGGTTTTCACAGCGGTGAGTATGGAGATTTCTGTCTTCTGCAACCCAGAAATCTTCAATTGTGCATGTATTTAATTTTGCTGTAAACAATGCATTATTGTCATGCATGTTTTCATTCTCTATTTTAAATCTCTAGTGCTGTGTGAATGATAATGATTATGTGATAATTAAAATATAACGTACAAGTGAAATTATTTGAGCATATTCTAAATAGTTAAAATTTAATACATTAAAAATTACTATGCTCCATATAAAATAAATTATGCCTAGAACACTATTTTAAGTGGTACTGAAGACAAGCAAAACGCAGTTAAGAAATAGCTTGCAACGAGCAGGAAAGAAGCATTATATTAACCTTTCCATCTCTACTTTATTATGGAAGCTGAGTACGAAAAAATCTACGTCATGCAATTGGATATAAGCTCGTAACAGTTCAGATACTACAGTCATACCGAATATCCATAATTATGTGCAAAGTAAAGGCTGATTATTCTGATAATTTCCTTTAATTTGGGTTGTACGTTGTGAATGACATCTCATGGAAGAACTTTTCAATAGACAATCAAATATCATGATACGCGAATAGCCATCTTTGCTAGTGACGTCATTTTTCGTCAATATAACGGCCATATTGTCTGGGGATATAGCAGTTTCGATTTTACATGAAACACTGCTTCCTCTTTCAACCCCCTGACCCCACCTCCCCCTTGTTCGTAAACTGTTCGTTCTCTTCGCCATTTTGTTTCGTGGACGTAAGTTGATCTAGTTTCTCTCCGTTATAATAGCATTTTATTAACAAATTACTTTAACTGTAGGTATAATATAACATAATTTCTGCTTACAGTATTCGCAATCTTCGAAGTGAATTAATAATTGTAACTCTAGACGAGGTACATTGCTGTATTTTACGTATCATTGTGGACTGATGTTTCAGGTTGATAGGCTCAGTTGAACCTTGAGATTTCAGCGTTTGGAATTGAGGAAGAATTGAAATAAATAATGTAAGTAATATTTCATTAATATAAGGCCGTATAAAAACATATAAATTGACATTATCAGGGACTCGACCCCAACGAAACCTCCGCAGGGGCGTTCGTATTGGGGATATACTAATGACGTCATTCACTATGAACCCCATTTTCAGGATGCTGTTCGGGGACGTGGGAGAAATCGGTTACTTGGCATTATGCGGCAAAAAAGGGAAAAGTCGCGCGAGTTAATGTTTAAAGTTTTAAGTGTTTGAACTTTTTTTTTATAGAATGAACGTTACTGCCGTGTCAATTTTACATTACAAACAAAAAGGTTCGGTGATGTTCCCACATTGATATGAAGGGGGAAAAAGGGGATAAAATTCCGTAGTAAGGAAAAGCAGTAGTGTAGGTGACACAGGTACTGCAGGAAATCCAAAGCGAATGAAATCACGAAAATAAGTGACAATGGCAGCCATTATTGCTATTGATAATGCAGAGTAGCAACTCGTGCTCAGTAAGAGAATTCCAACACTTCATTTGGAACAATGCTTTCCATATTTTGGCCATTAACAGTTTTTGGGTCCGAGCCATATGTGACATACAGGTGGTGGTTTTGAAATTTGGGAAAGTTGTATTTGTCATATTTTATTGTTTAGTGGTGGAAAAAAAAATCATTTTGTTAATCATTCACAATTCTTACATGCCTTGTCTTATTCTGGTTTCAAAAATTTTGCTTAAAATTTTCCAGACTTGTTTTAAATTTTCTGCCATGTCTTAACACTAATGTCTTGTAATAATTCCTTATTATTATGGTCTTGTGGGTTGTTTTGCTTTGAGGTGGTTACCAGTGTTACCGTCAACTACATATTGCATGAGTCTGTATTTCCGTGTTTCAATTATAACAGTTCTCTGGAAGTGAAGGAATTTTCCAACAGCTGGACAGGTTTCATCCCTGACATGTTATGTGCAAATCTGATAACATACTGTAAGTGTAAGTGTGTGAACACTAAAATGTACCATATGAATTGGAAGCACTTGCAATAATTGTTTCTTTGCATTGAGATTGAATGGTTTTGTCTGGAATTTCTGATGTTGCATGAAATACATGGTTCGACGCGCAGGAGTTGATTGACTGATATAATTTCAGGGCATTCTATGGGAATAATAGATTTGGTGGAAATAGTGGGAGGAATGGTTTTGGTGGCAACAATGGAAGAAGCAGCTTTGGCAGCAACAGTGGAAAATCAGGTTTTGGCGGGAATCAGGGAAGAAATGGATTTGGAGGAGGAGATCGCAGAGGTGGGAATGGCTTCACCGGTGGTGCGGAGCGCAGGGGAAGTGGTTCTGGTGCTGGAGGCAGTATGAAGGGCCAGCAGCCAGGCGGAGGACTCGTTAAACCCCAGTGGGAAATGCATAACCTCCGACCTTTCACCAAGAATTTTTATGTTCCTCATCAGGATGTGTCAAACAGGTTTGTCATTTATGTACTTAGAATTTGATATACATAAAATATGTAATATGGGATAGACTGTCTATTCTTTGTGTACTTCCAAATTCATCATTCATATCCAGGAATTTGACTCAAAATATGCTGTTAACAGAAAATTAGGTAAGCCAAGAAATGAAGAAACTTGTCATTACTTTTGCAGGACCCGTCATGAGGTAGAAAGCTACCGTGTCAAAAATGAGATTACCGTCAAGGGAAACAACATGCCTAACCCTATCCAGTTCTTTGAAGAGAGCAACTTTCCGGATTATGTGATGAGGGAAATCAGGTAAAATTCATTATTAATAAATATGAAGCTACAAACCAAGAAAATATTCCATTTCAGTTTTTTGTTGTTGTAAGATATATAGAAATTAAAACTTTTTAACAAAGTAGATTATCATAATATTCCTTCCCCATAGCGAGTTTTGTATCTTTCTGCACTGTCAATTTTTACAATTTCAGAAATTCTGGATTTAATGAACCAACTTCAATTCAAGCACAAGGTTGGCCAATCGCCATGAGTGGGCGTGACATGGTGGGAATTGCACAGACTGGTTCTGGAAAAACACTGGCAGTAAGTGGCTTCTTGAGTTTTTGTCTTAGCTTACAGATGTCCTTGGAACATTTCTTTCAGGTTACAGGTACATCAAAAATCGTGTTCGTCAACATTCCTCGTTGGCTTTGTGTTTAGTTTTGATGATTATCCTGTGTGCGTCGCCCAGAATGTCTACCGAGAACAATTTGGTTGACCGGAAGGCTGCAGTATACACATAAAAGTTTTTCCGATTACGTTTACGAAGCCGAAAATTTAGTCTGTACTGCAAAGAAAACGACACTTCAAAAGGCTGGAAAGTGTTTTGACTAGCAAGCATTCATATTTTATTTAGTAGCTTATTTCCTGTTTCTTTTTTTATTTTGAGATGGTTATGCTTGCAGTATGTTCTTCCTGCGACTGTTCACATCAACAACCAAGAAAGATTATCTCGAGGCGAAGGCCCCATCGCTCTTATTCTTGCTCCCACGCGAGAGTTGGCTCAGCAGATCCAGAGTGTCGCTAGAGAATTTGGTTCCTCTACGTATGTTCGCAACACTTGCATTTTTGGTGGAGCTCCAAAAGGGCCCCAGGTAATCCTTTGTTGAATTTTGGCATGTAATTTAAATGCCCTTTATATATTTTACTATATGGCAGCTGGGGTAGAGCTCACCGTAAAAGACAGTTCATGTTTGTTTAGTGGCTGTTATGTGATTTTCAGGCACGTGATTTGGAACGTGGCGTTGAAATCGTCATTGCTACTCCCGGCCGACTTATAGATTTCTTAGAGAGAGGAATCACGAATCTCCGGCGATGCACGTACCTGGTGTTGGATGAAGCCGACCGGATGCTGGACATGGGATTTGAGCCGCAGATCCGCAAGATTCTGGAACAGATACGGGTAAGTGGAGGTTCAGCTGTACCTCCCTCATCTGGATGTTTTTTCCGCTGTCCACAGCCCGAGGACCGTGATATGGTGTCGCTGGTCACTCTCAACATAGTAATAAATTTTTTTTTGAAAATAGTCTTCTACTAGCGTCAGTGTCCATGCACATTTCTGGTGCAGTCCTCACGAAGTGCCACTGGCAGAGAATAGGAAGCCTTAAATGCTGGGTTATTTTGCAGCCGGACCGACAGACCTTAATGTGGTCGGCTACGTGGCCGAAAGAGGTGCGTAATTTGGCTGAGGAATTCCTGAAGGACTACGTCCAAATCAATATTGGTTCGCTGCAGCTTGCGGCCAATCACAACATACTTCAGATCGTGGATGTTTGCCAAGAACACGAGAAAAGTGACAAGTGAGTATCGGAATGCAGAATGCCTACAAGTGCGTTTGACGTTTATCATATAGGAATAATGGGATTTAAATCTGAGAAAATTATTAATTTAGGAACAACATCGCTTAAAATGGCATGAAATCGTAGAGTAACGAAGGAAAAGTAGCTGATAGCAGTTGTAGTTGTTAACAACATTAACTTAAGTATGGTACTTGTTGGTTATCGGGACACAAGACAGGAGAGTCGGATGTCTGGAATTGGATTCATATTTATCCGAGTTCATGTGGCGGCGTACAGATGATAACGGCGATATTTTTAAAACGATTCTAAAATCTATAATCGAATTTTGGCCTCCGGAGACGCTTCGTAACAACAATTAACATATGCATATGCAAATAAAATATAATAATTTGTCATTTATTGAAATAAAATATAATAACTCTCAAGTATGTGTCATTTATCCACACACATTAACCTAACCTAACCTATTTTTAAAGCGACATGTTCCGATAACCCACAAGTACCCTTTGGTATTTTATTTTCTAAAGCTTTTAATTTTTATATATGATTTATAATCAATAATTGAGATCCTCTCTTTCTAGACTGAATGCATTGCTACAGGAAATTGGCTGTGAACAAGAGGGAAAGACGATAATTTTTGTGGAGACAAAGAGAAAGGTAGAAGACATTACAAGAAGCATTCGCAGATTTGGGTGAGTACTGATAACTTTTACATAAGTTCGCTAGGAACATTCTGCATGTAATTTTTGTTATGGCTGTTCAGTTTTCAATTTGTCGCAAAGAATGCGGTACAATGTAACTACCCATGTTACAACATTTCAGTTTTGGCAACGTTGCTGTCGTAAATGAAGGAAAGCAAATTTTTCTTGTATTGCAGGTATCCAGCTGTATGTATGCACGGAGACAAATCTCAGCAAGAGAGAGATCACGTTCTCAGAGGTATGCATCTCTGCTGTTCTGTAATTACTTAAATTCAGCATTGTCTTGTCCGTTGCGGAATGCACTTTGCCCTTGAAAACTCGGTGGGAACTATGTGCACCTCACTCCTTACCAAACCGTGTAAACCGGTATTATTTAAACAGCATTAACGAGTTGATCTTGGTAAAGGTGAAGTTGTGTTTTGCTGACGAGGCTAATTTATTAAATGTTTAGATGAGCTTTGGTTTTCAGAGGGTAAATGACCTCATGAGGGCAGTGGGTTTCAATACTGGACTGGACCTGAAATGGAGAAAATGTAACAGTGATATTATTGGTCTAGGGCAGAGGTTCCCAAACTTTTATACTTTGTGCCCCCCCCCCCCCCCTTCCAGACCAAGTGCAAGCAAACAGATTTGACATAAAATTTAGTTATGAATATACATTTTATTATAATTTAGTATATATTCGATGAATTTAATTTAAAAAAACTAATAAAATATACGCTTCATACCTGGGTTATTGGGATGGATGTGGTTTCTTCTGTCAATATAACTTATACCGGGGTTGGAGTTTTGTAATGGCTGCCCTAAGGTCGTTTTTCAGGTTCATCGTAGGTATCTCCTCTTCTATGGCTCTCTGGTCCGTTTTCAGTCCATGGCCTCTTCAATTCTCTTTCATTCAGTCCTCTGTTAGGTCCGTCTGTCCGAGGCTTTGATCGTGGTTTCAAAACATCTTCCTTTTTACGGCGCAAGGTTGTTAGCCTTGTGACCAACCCCCAACCTGGAGGACCAGGGTACCTGTCTTAGTCTGACCTCTCCCCCTCGACCAATCTGTC